AATGAAATTTAGCGTTTTGTCGTAAGGATGAACACTATTGAAAAGGGTTCGGATCGAATCGCTTTTTTTATAATTGCATTAAGCTAAAATTGTGTAAGATATTTAATTGTACACTGTGACCGGCTATGGCATTTTCACTTGCTTTTTTATATGCCTGTTAATGCAGAACATATCTGCTCTTTAGATCCTAAAATGTGGAAGTGCTTACCCTTGTGAACTTCATTATACTAAATTCTTTGATAAGGGAATTAACTGTGGTACAAATTTAGACCACATCGTTTCGCGCTTCTATACAAGTCTTAAATTGCGAGACTTTAGCCCGATTTTGCTAATGTCCAACCTTGAAAATATTTAGATTCAACGCAAAGTTCTCAGGCAAAAGTTTTACGTTATCGAAATTGTAGTAGATAGACAAACGAGAAGAAGAAGAAGCTATATCTATAGCCATCCATGCTCCTTGCTGTCAGATTCATATCACCACACGCGTTATAAATAATTGGCATTGTAAGCGAAAAGCATATCTCGTCCCCTCGTTGATCATCACTGAGTATTTGAATACTCAGATGAATGTCGTATAACGGTTTGCTTATTACTTTAGTTATTTTGTTTATAACATGTAACCATATCCGATAGCAAGAAGGATTACGAAGCACTTATTAAGTTCGGTTAGTTATCCATTTCCGTCTGTCTGTCGCGTTGACATGATGAAAACAGAAACTTGAGACTTGAGACTTGAGACTTAAGACACACATGTTTTTTTTTGTTAAACTGTAAATGAAGAAAAAAAGAAAAAAAAAAAAAAAAGGGAAAAAAAGAATACATGTATAATAAAAGAATACTGAAGTCTACTCGAAAGAGAAACGAAATCTTTAGGTAATTCCTACAATATAGATATCCATTGGGAATTTAGGCGACATATTTTCTAAAGCTGCCGGTAAAGCAATTAACGATCGTTAGCGATTTAGCGGCCAATCCTGCCTATGCTGCTCTTTAATGAAATGCTTCTTTAAGAAAAAGAATGTAAACGAAAAAGTATTTTTTTTTTTATTTTTTTATTTTATTTAAAACACGTAATGATTATATTGATATTAAATAGTCACAAGTTTTTCTTGATCATTGTCTCTCAAAACAGTGGCAACTGCTTTTATATTTTAGATTGAATAACGAAGAAAAAGAAAAAAAAAAACAAAAAATGTTTCTTTCGTTTTTCTTTTTTTTTTCTTGTTTTTTTTTTTTTTTTTTTTGCTTTATTTATTTATTTAGTTTTTTCATGATACATTTTTCAAATATACTTGTAATTTGTTATTACATAACTCAATACACTCAAGCAAATGATATATAGCTTTCAGAGTCATTGTAATAAAAGCTTGAATTTCAATCATACACACTCTAGAGTTTTAACAAATATCACTTGAATTATTTAAAGAGCAGGTAATAAGATAATAGTGATTATATAGTTCAAATGAATTATTATTATTATTATTATTATTGTTGTTGTTATTACAAAATTTTAAATGAAATATTTAATTATTTAATTACATCCCCTATCAGGCCGGAAATTATAACTCATTTCGCCTTTTTATATTTTGACATGCCCCAAAACCTTTCCCATATGAAGTGCGTGCGCATATATATATATATATATATATATGTATATATATATATATTACTGATAATTGTGCATAATTTGCATAACAATTTTCTTCTTTCTCTACAGGCTCACGTTTCATTTTACAGAAAGCATTTTGCAAAACAAAAAAAAAAAAAAAAAAAAAAAAAAATAATAATAATGTGATTTGACAGAGCCCCTGCTCTCGTCGAACATTGTTTTTTGTGTTTGCCTTAATGCGAGCTCTTCGATGTTTGAATGACTGATAAGATTACACATTGTAAACTTGAATTGCTTTCTCAAATTATGCACTCAACAAAGCGGCATGGTAACGAGCATTTCACGGCAAAACCTTGATCTTGCATTTAAAAAAAACTATATTGAATATCAATCTGCCGCTGCCGGTGTAAATGCAGTGTCGAATGAACAATTTTCGAGACTATTAAAGTATTTTATATCACGTTTTGGTTTATTAACTTGATTGATGCTCAAGCAGATCTAAGCCTAAGAGTAGGGAGGCTCATCTTTCAAATGCAGATTTCTGGCCCCTCCTCCGAGCAAGGGATCGTTAAAATGGTTAGGTAGTCAGTGCACTCGTGTCTTAAGTGATATTCGCATCTCCCATCTAAATTTCCAGCTTACTTCGTAAACTTTGAGGCTGCATTAACATTGAAAACTTTTATCGAGTTTACGCTTCTTTGCCCATTAAGAATAAGACTTAAGAAGAAGTTTAGCTAATTTATAAACATTCTTGAAGGCTTTAACATATAACATGATGAGCAATGGACTGACGGCTGTATATAATTTCAAAATTGGGATATGAGAATAGATAAAATGCTGTCAGGGCATAATTAAACTTAACACGGCATTGTATATAACAGCGATTTGCAAGTTCTTTGCAGAATGAACACTGCTGCTGACTTGTTTGAGAACAGACCTTCTTACCATATAATAATCGAAGGATTCTATTCAAACTTAAGATTAATGGTCATCAACGTTTTAGAAAACTTCAATTTTATATTGTTTGCCTTATTACTTATTATTACAGTTTTAACAGCCTCCCTCCTCTTAATCACGCGATCAAAGCAGTTCTCAACTCGAATATATTTAAGATTTCCATAAAACTTATCAGCGCCAGCTGCCATAGCTAAGTATGTGCATTAGCATTTTTTGCAATGTTATTTCACTTTATAACCCTACTATAGGTTTCATCATCAGGTCGTATATACTTGTAAGCTAATAAGTAATTGATATGATAAATTTTCCCCATGCTGGAGTCGGAACAGTTGAGATGGATGACAGGCAAACAGGTAGACATAGCTATATTGACTCAAAGGTGTTCGCTGATTAAGGCAATATTTACTTCTGGGAATACATCTGGGCTACCTAAGCTACACAATTAGTTATAACGTAGCGTCCTTTTTGGCGAACAAGAATAAATAATATTTGAACTAAATCTATTCCTCTGCTGCATCCTTTTGATATTTGCGATGAGGTAAGAAGCGTTTGGGGCTAAATCTGCGAAGTACGGCGAGTAGGGGAGCAATTCGACTACCAGCTATCCCTAGTAACATCTTTTAGCCGATCACAGCATCATCGCAATTCGTATGGCCTCGTTTAAGATGAGTTAATCGTCAATTAAATATTATTTGCCGTTACCGTAACACTTTTCAAGCCAACACTGGGTTTCAACGGTATTTTTCCATAGCTTTGGCAATATCGGAATTATCGTCAGGGAAAACCTTGTGATTCATAAAGAAGTAATCGAAATGACATGAGACGGCGCATGAGATTTGATACTTTCGTGAGATAAAATGGATTTTTTTGTTTGCTATAGCATATAAACGTTTGAACGTGTGCACCTGTTGCCGAATTTTGATCAGACGAATTACTTAGGTTTAGAGAGTTAAATGCAAACGATAAATTGCGCTCTCTAACGCGAAAGAGGGCCTTATAGCAAGCTGCAGTACCAGATATAAGAGGTTGTGTGTGGTGTCCAAATTCTGTTGCTTTAGCAAAGTGAAGCCTATGTAACACCCCCTATTATTTAATCCTCTTCGATTTTGGAATAACTATGGCGACCACGATCCCCGTAAAGTGGTAGCCAACTCTCCCGTTGGATAGTGAATGTGAACATTCATGCGCATCCTGGCACTCGTTCAGATTATAATGCTTTTAGGTTTTTCCTTGGGGGTTAGTAACTGCCGCCTAGTGGGCGTGTGCCCAAACGATAAATGCAGTGCCATTTCAGCTATAGCCAAAGTAAACTCTACCGCACTTGAGATTTGAAGCCACGTACACTGACTTGATAGTCGCGGATCTGAAATACTCGGCTACTCATATGAATAAATCTTGGATCTCAATACAATAGCAAATGGCTTCCGATCCTGTCGATTGTTTCTTCAGGGGCTAATAAGCAGTGATATAACACACCGCCGAAACTGTTTACAAATCACTTCAAAAAAAAAAAAAACACTCTTAAGTAAGGTATCACCCATATCAACTGCACGTCATTCTACAATAGCTTCCCGACAATAAGCCCAAATTTATCAAACATATTATATGAAATAAATATGGTTCGGATAATAAATTGTCTACTACAGCCCTTTGCAGAAAAGAGAAGAACAAAACAAAAATAGAATATTCTTTTGCAAGTAAATAAAAGATAAAGAAAAAGTTAAATTGCGTTACTTATGCTCTCAACTGTAGTTATAGTTTCTAATTGTGTAACAGTAAGCCTGGCGATTCGATGAGGGCGGGTATTTCTATATTTGATGCGTCAGATGTAATCTTATCCTGCCGCCATAAGTTTTCGTGGCTGAAGCTCTAACATAATTGTATTTTCTTCTTTTTTTTTTTTTACGCACTGTATGCTCGCATATCTAAAGAAGATCAAAGACTTGAAAGATATTGAATGGGTTTTTTGATTTGTATTATCGTACGGTGTGCGCCAGTTCTTTGCTCAACGTAGAATTCTGAGTTGAGTTAGAGAGATATTCCTCTCTTTTTCGATGTTTTTTCGAAAAGTCGCATCGCCAACTAAACCGATTAAAAGTTGGAGGCGAACGCATTTAGTTCATAATTAATTTCACTAACATAATAGAATTAATTAAGAACTTGAGATAAGGAAAACTAAATATTTATTTTTAAACATCTCTCTCTCTCTCGCTACATATATATAAATATATATATATATATATATATATGTATATATATATAGTGTAGTATTTCCATTTGTTCAAGCAAAATATTTTTATTACTCATAACATTTCCTATTAATTTCAAACGACTAATTAATTATTAGCTAAATTATTAGTTAAATAAATTTTTTTTTTACGTTTTTGCTTTCAATTGTTCACATAATACACACTTTCAAAGTTTTACGGATAGCTGTTATTATAATTGATTCATTCAAGAGTGTGCATTGAAAGGATGAGAATGTAGGAGTGACATATATAAAATCAGTTTTCATTACAAATGACTCAACCGATCGAGTGCACTATCTTAATTGTAGAGGATATTATGTTTATATGCATACGATTAAGTTACCATATTATCCCGATAGCAATTAAAGTGTTACTTGACTTCACTCCCACACATAATATGCAAAATATATGATATCCAGTTTTATGTATATGTATATAGAAAGTGCGTACGCTTTGCTTTATTTATAAACAAGTTAAGGATATGGATCAAATTTTGTTCGCGTTGCTGAGTACGCATTCTGTCTAGTCATTCAAATTGGCTCGCGACCGAATCTTTTTATCTATTATTAAAATATTTTTCAAGAAAATTTTTTCCCAAACTTTCCTTATCAGATATCTTTACAATTAAGTCGACCTAATACAAACTAATGCAGTGAAGTATTTAAAATCGCACTTGAAACAAACATAGTCAGAATATGTTTTTTTGGTAATTGGAATTATATAGAAGGCGAACCTACTCTGACCTATTTTCTTTCTTCTCTTTCTGACCAATACCTTCTCTTAGAGATTACGAATACCCGGATAGAAAAAATTTTAAAGTTTTTTTCAACTTTTAATCGCTAACGCCGGAAGTGGAAACTTGATCTTTTTAATTTCCGTAAGAATGTATGGTTATTTTCAAATCTCTCTCTTTCTCTCTCTCTCTCTCTTCAATTTTGAGCCTTTCGTAACGTATTAGCAGCAACGCAGTTATGCTCAAAATGCGAACAGACAGCCAATCTCATATTTCACATTAAGATTTCTGTCCGTTACGTACTTCTAAAGAGAGTATCCACCGGATAACTATTCTCATGCCACTTTCGTTGGTACGATCAATCTACATTAGCTTAAAGTTTTATTGGAAATACATTTATTTTGGTGAAATTTGAAAAATCCGCACCGCCTGTCTATTGGTTGTTGGAACGCCCACTTTCACCAGATCAAACTGTCAACCGGGCATGAGCTGATCACAAATATGTCCTCAATAAAAAAGAGAGATATGATGATGAAGTATTGCTGGCTAATTTACCCGTCCATGATTAGATAAACACTTTAAGACGAAAATTGCTTTCCCGTATGTAGGTAGCCCCCTAGCGGTTACTTCTTACACATTTAAGCATGGCATTGACTGCCGACGATTGTAATTGGAATATAAAGGAAAGACGAAGTAGCGCCGATGTTTAAGTGCTGCATACACTGTGCATGAGCATCCATGAGCATATGCCTCCTTTGTTGTACGGGGCCGTGTTCTTGCAGATAGAACCTGGAAACTACCGTCCATTCAGGCGGTTTGTGCCGTAATCTGGGTCTCTAATATAGTCAGCGTGAATGATGTGAGTAATGCTGTTAACACTTCGCGTGGTTGTTCTTTCTACTTTGTATTTGATCCTTCTACGTTGACACCACACGATGACGAAAGTTTGCATCACTTCTACAACATAAGATATAAGATTAAGATAAGATAAGATTGGACCGCGTCACTTTTGAAGCAGAGGGAAAGAAATCACGCGGAGTGTGTAGAGTGTAGAGTGGTCTCTCATGCAAAAGATACCGGATAGAGATGGAGAACAGACCCTTGTGCTACACCTGGATCATAAGCACATCAAAGATACATACTTTTGCTATTTATTTTTTTACCAAGTTTCTATTATACGATAAGGTCACCTTGGCGTCACTTTTATTATTAAACGTCTCATTAGGAAGGTGGGCGTTTTTTATTCCAGTTTTTACTACTCTTATTAGCTTTCCTTTAGCTTTAAACGGATTCATACTTAAATGAATGCAACAACCATTATAAGTAGGACAAGCAATAAATGAAATTGAACAATGACGATTATACGATTAAATTGAGTCTGCTATTCCCGTTACTTAATATTATATTCTCATACTCGATATACTCAAAGTATATTCCCACGATTTGAAAGCATTTAACAAATCTAATATAATCTCTCTAATGGATATCATACAATAGAAGTTCAAGGTTGCTTCAATGTATCAACATTTTCCGGCTATTTTTCTTTCCAATGCTGAACATATACTTAACTAAAGAAAAGAAAAGAAAAACAACAACCAGTTTACCTTCAATTATGTGATTTTGCTTACACGATCAGTCAGCTGTTCTCTCAGCGTAGCAACATAAAATTAGTTTTACATACACGTAGAAACTTATGGAAATTCCTCGAGAGTCAAAAAAAAAAAAAAAAAAAAAACAAAAAACAAAACAATATTTTACTCAATGCTATGCGTGTGAAGCATTTAAAAAACCTACTCTCTTGAGTAAAAAAAAAAAATATCGATACGATCCAGCAGCGGAGGGTTGAGCAGCGGGTCGGTTATCTCTCCGTAAATTCACTAATAAAATATGTTGTTGTTTTTGTTTTTTATATGACAAGAGTTTCTAGCGTTTTCATGCCGATAGAACCTGATAAATATTTTGCCTAGAAATTTATAGTAAATTCTCATAGCGGCGATACTAATATGTCAGCGATTAGTTTAGTTTAGTACGCGCTCTCTTACCGTTAAAACGCCAACGAATATATAAAAAAAAAATTTTTTTTATATATATGTTAAAAAGGTAAAAAACTTATAAATAATCTACGAAAGCAAAAAAAAAAAAAAAAAAAAAAAAAAGAAAAGAGGAAGAGAAAACAAATAATAATAATAAATTTCTTCCAAAAATATATTTTCTGTTTATTTTTTGCAATAAAAAAAATGTTCGAAAATTTATATGAATTTAAGTACAAAAAACAAGAAGAAGAAAAAGAAAAGAAAACCAATCAAGTGTGAATTTTAAAGTTCTACTTTTTTTTTTTTTTTTTTTTTTTTTTTGCCATATATTTTTTTCTGCTTGGTTAAAACGTGTAATGTATTTCCGTATTTTGTCTTTTGTGTGTGTGTTTTTTTTTTTCTCTTTCTCTCTCTTCACTTTCGCGCCCGCTACTTAACGTTTTTTATGTTTGCATTTTTCACTTTTTCCTTTTATTTTGTATAAATTTTTGTGTCATACCTTTACATCTTCGAGCTATACGTATATAAATACATATTTAACTTTCTATATACGTGCGAGTACACTTTTCTGCGAACGCTTTATAATATTATGCTTAATTTTTAATTGAAAGCATATTTCTGCCTATACGTAGTCTAAAAAAATGAAAATAAAATTTCAAAAATCTTAACAAGTTACAACATCTCTCATATAAAACCTAATGCTTAATTGCTAGGCAAACAAATGAATTCATCGATATCCTAAAAAGTTTCCAAAATATTAGGTGATTGCAAAAATTCTGATCACTTTTTCAATTAAAAAAGGCATCAAAATGATTTTCATAATTTTCTACAATATTTTACAATATTTCTGGCATATCGTGTCGAAAGAAGTTATGTTGATTTGTCAGCGATTTTACCCACCGACCCGTTTTCGCGCTTCTTCAACTTTGCGTACCCGTGTGGCAGCCAGCCAAGCCATGCTGCATCGATTTGACCAAGTGATAATCAGGAGTCGCCATGCCTGGAACAGAACGTGGCAGAATCTCCCTCCCATTCGAACTGCAACAGTGTATTCTTGCAACAAGTTGCCAAACAAAAGGACATTTGCAGTGAATTCGTGTCGCCACTTCTCAACCGTTGAACCCAAAAATGACAATTGAGATATGATGGAACAGTGTCGCCATAAGCTTGTGAATGGGTTTAGTCGGCTTAGGCAGCCGATTTCCTCAAATAAATAACAGAAGTAAAGCGTTTCGAAGAAGAAGAATTTTTTGCGCATCATGATTAGCGTCGGCGTAAGCTGAATAAATG